TTTTTGGCTACTTTCCATTCTGATTAATGAAGTACTCATCAGCTCCATGTTTCTGGACTCTCTCATTCAATCTAAAATTTTTTTTTAAATCCATTAACTTTCATCACCTGCTACTATGACCTCCCAATATTCTCTATTTTAATCATCTGTAAAAAATAATTACAACTCATTACACATTATAACTTTAGTCTAAATTAATGTCCATATAATATCTAGAATTAAACTTAACTGTACTTCAGTACTTCTCAAATCACTAAGAATATAAGGATGTAAGGTAAACAAACCACAAAACAAACAGGGCACATGATGACCTATTAGTGTAATGGCAATGTAAAATAATTTTTTATATTTTAACAAGTAGTACAGACTCTAAAACTTGCATGAGTGTCTAAAAAAGATTTCAAGGAAGTCTTGAAAACAGCTACTCTGCACACTCTTTCTTTTGTCTAAGTAGATGATAGGAAAGGTTGAGAGACTATTGTTTTAGGTGATTTTCACTAAAGACACAGATATCACACCCACATTCTGACCAGTTCTGGACAACTCTGGAGATCAGCATTTTTCTCCAATGAATTTTATCTGAGAAAAAACGTTTTATATGAGTAACCACTGTGACCAAACTATATACATAGTAACATGAACTATGTATCAACAGGAAAAATGAGTCCTAGTAAAACAAATGACATTTTACCCACAAATACATGAGTGATGAGGAAAGACAATCTTTAAAAGAAACTGGTAATATGACACCTAAGAGTATTTGCCTTCTAATCACGGTATATTCTAAGGTAGAAATGCATTCTGGTAAGGAGGCAATATAACATACAAAAATGACACAGAATTTCAAGTACAAAGAGGAATTTTGGTCTCAACTCTGCAACTTTCCATTTAAGTGACTTGGGCTAGGCTAGGCCACTTCCTCATCTCTAAAATGGACAAACAGTAAGATCCGCTGGATATGAAAGATTTGTAAACAATAAAGAATTATAAAAGTGTTATCATTCACTTATAGCTTTCAGACTACATCAATGTGGAATAATGACAAAAAAAAAAACTGTCTCCTAGTATCAGAAGTCTTTGAAATTTTAAGGTTGGCAAGAATTTTTTTCTTACTACTAATTCACAGTAAGCAGGTCTAAAAACTATAGCCAATAATGTAAGATACAGATTTTTATAAAATATCCATATTCTTTAGTTTTTATATTTAAAACTTAAATTTACATTTTAAAAGGGGGAGAGGCAGAACACTCTGGAACAACATATCAAATGAGCAGAAAGTTTTACTGAAGTTAAACCAAACAAGTGACAAATCAAAAATGAAGAGGTACAGTATACAAAAGTGTAAAAATCTAAAATTAATAGTCTTCCACTGCCAAAATCCACAATGCTGAACAAGCCCAAGAATAATTTGTTAGACATGTAAGAGAACTGTTTGACAATTTTATGTCATCACTTGCATTATAAAGCACTGGGATCTTGCTGCAATTATATACACTCCTCTCCATACAAACAGAAGGTAGAAATGAAGTAATTAAAAAACAAACATGATTAATTTAACATAACAAAGTATTTTCAATTACAGAAACTCCATACTAGTTAAAATTCACTGGTTAAATTTGATCTTGTAAAGTGAAGACCCTTTCAAAAAATTACTTGAACATTAAGCTTTCCTTGTCTTTTGAAATCAATTTGAAAAGGACAAAAGTAAAATGATAAAAGCACCCAAAATTAACCTTTATAAGTTTCAAAAATCTAAGGTGAATATCCTTATTTATCATTTTTGTTGTAAGAAAAATTCTCAGAAGCATCCTTAGATCATTCTCTACTTCTTATGCATATCAAATAAATTGCTCAGAGTAACATTATAAACCTGGAAAAAAATACTAGACGTCTTTAAACAAATTAAACTTTAGAGAAAGTAAATAAAAGTCCACAGCAAGTCTTACTATTTTGCTATTAAGTAGAAATGACTGTTTCATTATGTGGCTCCGTTAGTTATTAGTCATTTCTCTTAATCTTCATCCTTCTAATTCTTTGGAACAGTGTTTCAAACTGTCATAAATAACTATCATATGGTGCAAGTATTGTTTATGGAGACATAAAATAAAGAATGCTGATTTACTCATTTCACTTACTATTATCAAGACTTGAAACTACAAAATTGACAGGTAATACTTCTGTTTTTCACATGTGATACTCATGTGCTTGGCATATAAATGGTAGCTACTATGACTATTATTGCTAACTCAAATAATTACATTAAATGCTACAAATCTGAAAATTTCAATGATACTACTTGAATTATCAAATGCCTTTCTTCCCTTAAAATATTGAAAAAAAAATATATATATATATGAGAAGTAACTGAGAAAAGATGAATAAAGCATACTCAAACATAACAACAGAAGCCTCTTACTCATGATAGATATTGGTAATCATTGGTGTTATGGACTGAATTGAGTCCTCCCAAATTTATATGTTGAAGTCCTGACCTCCAATATGACTGTACTTGGAGATAGGGCCTTAAAGGAGGTGATTAAAATTAAATGAGGTCAAAAGGGCAGAACTCTAATCCAACAAGACTAGTGTCCTTGTAAGAGGAAAATATAGCAGGAGTGTGTAAGCACAGAGGACACAGCAAAAAGGCCACTGTTTGCAACCTAGGAAGAAAGATCACATCAGAAACTAAACATGCCAGCACCCTGATCTTGGGCTTCCAGCCTCCAGAACTGTGAGAAGTAAATCTCTGTTATTTAAGCTACTCAATCCGTGGTATTCTGTTACAACAGCCCAAGCAGACTCATACCACAATTGGTTCATGGAATAGTCAGCAAAGCAGAAAAAAATAAAAATGTTTTGAAAATACAGTAAGCATCTTAGTTATCTTAAAAATATATATTAATTTATCCACCTTTTGATAAAGAATCAAGACCTATAAAGATTTCCAGATTTGGCTTCTGTAAAGTTACACAAGAACTTAAAAGACTCTTACAAAGCAGTTTGGGTACAAAAATCAAGACTGCATTAACTTTTGGCCAGCCTTTTATAGTCATCTCACCCATTCCCAGATCCAAGAGTCTTTTTTTAGTAACTCACTTTATCCTATCTCTCTACAATAATCAACTTAGTTTTTATAGAAATTACAACTTTATTCTTATATACTCACATTTTATTTGTCTAACAAGTATTTAATTTGATTACATAATCACCATTAAAAAACTGGCATAAACAGCTCACAGAACAAACCCAACAGACTCATGGTAAACAGACATTTCAATTGGTAGATGCAGAAGTGTAGAAATATAGTAGAGATCAAGCAACTCACCAGCTGAAAACACCTGACATATAGGCATCAGACATTGTGCCAGGAATGGCCAGTACTGATGAATCAACTGAGTGTGAAATGAAGGTTAGTTAAGAGATTTTCTACTGTATATCCAAATAAATGTTGGCTATTCAAATTTGTCCCTGTGGAATGTTGTCGCTGTATCAAACAATTTGGAAACCACTCATACTTTTTTAAATGTTGAAGAATAAATCATCATTCTTGGATCAGAACAAAAAAAACAATCATTAAGTGACCTGTCTGGTATAAATGTGAGCAGCAAAGTCCACTAATACAATTTGAAGAAAAGCAAAGTGTTACCATAAAGCAAAATAATCTGCTTAACATTTTTCCTTAAATATAAATATAGAAGTTTCAAGGACATGCTGAGTAACTATGACATAAATGTGTAGAAGAAGCCATCCCAAGGGTATCTGTCATTGAATACTATAAACTTCTTCACTTGTTTTAAAAATGACTACTAGGGATTCTCATTTTAAGTACATCACATATACCTGTACATAAACACACACACAGATTGGACACCAAGCAACTACTTATATTACATTTAACTTAGCTTTCTGAAATGCCCTGAAATTGGAGCCTACTAAGGTAAGTTTACTATTACATAGAAAACTCTGAACTTTATTCAGTAATAAAAATGAATCACTAAATTTCTTGCACAAAGAAGTAACATAAATGCAGTATTTTAGGAAGATTAGGTTAAGAAATAAGAACTACAGGTGTGAAAAATGAATAGGAGATAATTTAGGAGACTACCAGCATAAACTAAGGTATATGGTAATAAGGGTCTAAATTAGAGACAGATAGCAAATGGAAATTAAAAGAACCCAAAAACTTATAAAATACATGCAAAAAGCACTGTACAAATATCAGTTTTCATTTCTATGAAAGAATCTATTAGCTGTGAATTAGATGAAAAAAAATCAAATGCAGAGTAAAGGGGAGTATGACAAAATCATCAGGCAGAAACATCTTTTCTGCTCGTCCTATAGATTCAAAGCAAAGATGGGGCTCACACAAGTTTTTAGTGAATTTGGAAATGCTTTGTCACTCCATACAAGTACAACTCAAGGAGCATTCTGTAGATTTAATTAAGCTCCATTACCAGGCATTATTCATATCAATTCTGATCTGGATTTTTCATGTTATTACATGAAATAACAGATGTTTTGTTCTTTCTTCTCAAGTTTAAATTAATTGTGTGGGTGTGTGTCAGAGAAAGAACTCATGCTGGGCCTGAACAGCTGGTAGAAATTACTTTCTCCCTTATATCAAGTGACATTTCTGATTCAGTAGCCTACAGTCAAGTAGGTTCTGCTTTTGGAGAAAAATGTTAACTAGTAGATTACTAATTAGACAACAGTTTTTAATTAGTGCTGTCTTTATAACTGAGTTGGTGACAAGGATGTCAAGTAAAGTCTGAGAATGAAGGTCAACTTCTATTTCTATTCTTCATTTTCTTCATCCTACTCCTACCCTCTAAGCTGCATCAAATGCCGCAAACCTCTTGAATTTCTGCCCCTTCTTGAATTCAGACATATTTTTCTTTTCAAATCAAGGACTAACACTATCAAGCTCCATTACAGGAAAACTAGAAAACTCTATTTATAATTCTCCCAGAATTTATCTGAAAAATACTAGGATAATTTACCTCAAATTTCTTCACCTTTTCCATTGTTATCAAGCGCCTTGATGTGTGACTGGAAAGTTTCTGCTCACAGTTGCTAATGAGTTTCAGGCAAGGGTGCCAGGGTACCAATTCTTCAGTGTATCTGAAGAAAAAAGAGCTGACTGTTATGAACACTCACATGTGCACCCCACACAGGATCTTCATGGGGGCTATCCAGGCAGGCATGGTATGTCCTCCCACCACATGCTGCACCATTTTATTTCACATGTTAACTGTCCACAGAATCCATAGACAATCAGTAATTTTAAAAAGCAAAGTATTTTAATATTACCACATCTAAAAAAAGTAGTTTAACTTTTACCTGTAGAATGAGAATGAGAGAACACAGGTATGTTTCATTGAAGAATGTCAAACTTCAAACCACAAAAATTCAAGACAACGATTCCACCCTAAAGCATCCCACAAGAGCACATAAGACAGACAGAAATGCACTCAACAAAAACCCCTTGACATTCATGAGGGACTGATTCATCTGGAGACTTTTATAAATTCCCAAAGTGTAAAGTCCACTATGGCATATATTCTCCACTATAAAGTGCCCTTACAAAATTTTAATGCCATCCTGAGACCTCTATTAATAAAGGGCTAAAGTTATTTATAAGATTATTTTAAAAAAAACTACCACTAAAACACTACAGATAACATCAGCCCTCTGGTCACCTTAACCATGAAATAAAACTGAAGCTGTGATCATAAGCAGTGGTGACTGCTCCATGTAGCACACATACTATGTGAATGGAGATGATGACACTTAGAAAGCAGGACAGTCAGGCTGCAGTAGTAGTTCAGAACCTGATGTCTGACAGGTTGTTGGTATCAGTCTTGGCAGAGAAAACAGGTGACAGATGTGGCGGAAATAGCAGAGAAAGAGGCACACTAGAATGGGTGCCATTCAGAACACTGTGATGACCAGGTTCTGTTTTTCCTCTGCAATTCTTCATTCCTTTCTATATGGGAAATTTTAAGGATCCAATCCAAAATGAGAAAGGTGCCCATTAGCACTTCATGTAAAGGACCACCATCTCTGCTAACCTGTTCTAACACGTAAAAATTATCTACACTACTGCTCTTTTACTGACTTCTCCAGGTCTCTCTGACCTTAAACAAGCTCTCCCTCACTACTTCAACCACATACTCAAAACTTTCATCACCCACTTACCAAGCAACATTCATAATGCACTTAACTTTATTATCAGTGGAAAGAATTCTCTTGAAGTCATTCTCTGCCTCCTTCCTTTGGGCTTTCCAACAAGTAATGACCATTTCAGATTTCACCTTATCTAATAATTTTCTAATGTTCACTATATAGTCAGAAATGTTGTACTACTTCTTATAAGTATTAGTTGACGTCAAATTTGGATTGTTCGTACAAAACATTTTTGTTTTGAAGTTCCTTCAATATGAAGGAACACATTCTGTATCATGCTTGACAGACCAAAATAAAAAGTGGTAACAGAAAGAAGATACAGCCTTGACCTTAAGCCTAAAACAACAGGGTTTGTAGATGTCTGAAACAGTGTTTGTCAAACTTAGTAATATCCCTTTTCCAAAAGGAAAAAAAAAATTATTTCTTGGCAGAATTGACAAAGTATTTTTATTAAAATGTAACTTAAAAAATATACAAATATAAATTCCTTAGGCTTATATCCTTTACATAACTATAAAACAAAAAAATATATATAAACCAAAATGAAATGTACAATACCAATACAATTTTAATTGATATTTATGACATGAATACTATTAAACTGCTGAAACTAAGTCACCAGGCATTTAGCTTCACAGAAAAAACATGTCTTTATATGTTTTAGATCATCTTTACAACTTGAACATTGAGTTTAAGCATGAAGTAATATTGTTTGGGTCATCATTATCATTAACCAACTTGTTTTAAACCACTATTCTACTATACTAGAACCAACCAATTTAACAGTATACTCCCAAAATGCCATACTAAAAATTTAAAAACAGCAGTTAATAAAAAATTCTTTACTGTATATGTACTAATATATTTCAATGTACTGGCTGCAGGCTGTTATAGAAGCTATAAATCTGGCTTGGGCTATTCTGATGACATGATATGCTTGCTATCTTAATTCCATTTTTACTACTATCCTCCTACAATTTAAAACCTAAATCAGCCAGAATAGACAAATTCACATAGATAGGTAAGTAGCTGCTGGAGGCAGAAACAGTGGTAATTGCTTATGTGCATGGGGTTTCTTTCTAGGGTGATGAAAATGTTGTGGAATTAGATAGTGGTTGACGGTTGCACATCTTTGTGCACGTACTAAGAATCATGGAGTTGTACACTTTGAAAGGGCGACTTTCATGCTATATAAACTAAATTTCAATTTTTTTAAAAACGGAAAAATAATTGTGTGTATAGGTCCCTAGCTTTTCCATGAATCAGTTTTGACAATTACTCATGTCTCTGTGAATCTTCACACATCAAGCTATTTCCAAATGTCACCAGTTTCACCTCCCATTTGAGAAACAGATTTTGCACTGACTTCACTTACTGAAAACAGTTTAAGGACTCACTTTTTCCTGTTTCCTAAATAAGAGATGAAAAAACATCTTGTCACTGCTCTGAGCATTTTACATTTTACTACAATTAAAAGTTATCCCCAATGTAAATCAAAGCATTATGTTGTACACCTTAAAATGATGCAGTGACGAATGCCAATTATTTCTCAATAAAACTGGAAATAAACTTATCCCCAAATTCTACTTTGGGGCAGACTTAGTTATTATTTTTATCACGAGCAGTAAGCAGCTAGATTTCTAAAGGACATCTTTCACAAAGAACCAGTTTCTAATCACTTTGAAAGAGTTATCTGTAATGACAATTAGAAAACACTACCACATGGATATCTGGAACCTGGCCAAACAGCTACACTCAGTAGCTCAGTAACTCCTGTAACATCAAACACAAGTTGTTATCCTGTACAAATGAATATTATAAAGACCTTCAGGGTCACCTGCACGTACCTGATATTGCAAATAATAAGCCCATAAATACAGAGTAGAGTAACTTTATGTCATCAGTCTCATGAGTGACAAGAATAAGCTACTGTGGCAACACAGATGAAGAACTTATTCTGCTGAGAAGCACTGAAAAAGTATCACAGAGGTTGTGACAATTAACTCAGGCCTTGAGAGATGACTAGAATTTTACTAACTGAGGAAAGAAGAAAGAGTATATACCAAGCAATTGGGACAAAATAAACAAAGGTGAGAAGATTTAAAGTATAGAGTATCTTGATGCTCACAAAAAAAATCTAATATACTAGAGTCTGGGAAATCCAGACTAAAAGAAGAAAAACAGAAGTTTGTTGAGCAGCAGTTCCTTCAACACGATTTAATATGCCAAACAGTGTGAAAATCATTTTTCAATCATCACCCTCTGACAATTCTTCACAACTAAGCTTTTAGGTAGTATTTTAATTATGTCTTATACTTCTCAAAATATGCTGGGTTTAAAGAATAATACCTGAACTTATAATGGTTACTTTTAAACTTGAATCATATAACAGGACTTGGTTAAGTAAATTAATTCACTATAATGGGACTAAAAGCCTATTTTTACTATACCAAAAATTTTAAAGTCTTAAAATTAAGCTTTTCTAAGGTATAATTTTAAAAAGAATTCTGTATTCCTAGTCCAATAAAAAGCTACATTTTCAGTAGTACACAAACTAATTCTAAATTATTTAATTCAGAAACAAGAACATTATTTCAAACTTTTACAGATGACTTTAGTCTTAAATTCATTGTAAAACTGTCATTTTAAAAAGGTTAAGACTATGGATGATGCCTGCTGCAGAAGTGAAAACAGTTCATTTCCTAACAAACTCAAGACAAACTAGTTCATTATTAAGATAATACTTAGTAATAATAATTAATAATTCATTAAGATCACTTTAGGCTGAAAGCAAGGAGAAGCCACTACAGAAGTTCAGTAATGAACATCAGAGAACCTGGAAATAACTCTCCAGGGAAGAGTAAGTCAGGGAAGTAAATGCTGCAGTAGTTGTCCAATGTGCATGCCAGTCACATACCTACATGAAATCTGTCCCTTGAAAAAATATCTAAATTTAAAAAAGGTGATAAAAACATGTCTCCCTTTTCTACTTCTAAAATATTCTTTGGTTAAATGCATTTGGAAATTTCCCCTTGTTGAAAATTATTCAAGTTAAGAAGTCACTGAAGAGATATCTGTGGCCATGTGGCCATTTTTAAGGTCTTTAAAATACTAAAATTATAAAATTAGAAGGGATTCCAACTTTTAATAGAGAAAGGAATAAATAAAAGAACTACAAAAGATATTCTTAACCACATTTAATTTCAATTATAATTAAATAATCATCTACAAAATAGCGGGCGGTCAGAAATGCCAGAAAGTTAAGATACAAAAAAACTAATGGGGCTATTTCAAAAGGACAGAGGATCACCTCAAAGAGACTCCCATTGATCCAATCTGGGACAATCTAAGCAATGAAATAAATAATGATGGTAATAAGTTATAGCCCAATGAGCAACACAGGAATCCATGACTCCATACCAAAATAAATTGATAAATAAATGGGAAAGAGAGGAAAACTCCTCCTTACAGTAGAATAGCAACTTACAAATGCAGAAGAAATGATGGACCAGGAAAGTCATCATCATGGTGGTTGTCAACAATGGTATCAGTGTGAGTAGTGGTTTGATGAAGAAAAAGATACTGATATAATTTTATGGGTATAATCCCCCATAAAATACTAATCAGAGGAGAAAATGATGACTCACAGTAGAGGAACCCAAGAGAACAATATGACCAGATGATGTAGTTTAAGATCTCCAGCAGGGGCTGTGTGTGCCCCGCAATGCAGGGCACACACAACACAGCATCATTCTGTGGTATTCTGCCTAAGAGAGCTACCTGCACCTGGTCATAGAAGAAACACCAGATGGACCCTGGCTGAGGGTCAACCTTCAGAGTATAAGCCATGTACTCTATAAAACTGTCAAGAACACAAAAGATAAGGGAAGATTTAGGACATATTCCAGACTGAAGAGAATGACATGCTGGATTAATGCAGCACATTTTCCTGGATGGGCTGCAATTGGTAAAACTTGAATGGGGTCTATGAGCTGGACAGCACTGTTATCAATGCTGATTTACTCATTTCCAGACTTTGGTGGGGAGAGGGAAAGGAGGGCTGTTAATGGTAGTTTGACAAGAATGCTCTTGTTTCTGAGAAATACAATGAAGTATGTAGCGGGGGCGGGGCATCATTTCTGCAACTTCTCAAATAGTTCCTAAAGAGATTAATGGTAATGGGTATATGATTAATATAATGGGTATGGTAAGGAAGGTGAAATAGGTACATGTTAATAGTTGGATAATTTGAATGAGGGGAGAGAGAGAATTTTTTTGTACTATATTTGAAACTTTTCTGTAAGTTTGAAATTATTTCAAAATAAATTTTTTTAAATTTAGCATTAACCTTGAATTAAAAAGTAAGCTTGCTGCTGGAGTTCAGTTTGGTTAAGGAAGGAACCACTTTTGTATAGAAATAAATGTGCTCTTCCTTGAAAATACAAATAAATCCCACGCATCACTTCACATACCAGGTATCTGAGATCTGGCAGGATGTTACGTTAAATAAACATCGCATTGGGAACACAGAAACCAATTTGCTAGCTAGCTTTTAACTTAAAGGCAATTCATTTTACTCCTTGGAATTAGTTTCCCCTATTTCTAAAGTGAAGAGGTTAAATGAGATTATCACTGGTAACAAAATGTAAGGCTAAGATACCATAAGGTATTAAGGGGTCTGGGCCTAAATGTGTACATTCTTATAGCTGATAAACAAATGTGTGACTAAAGTTAAGCCATGGTAAGTTCCGATACAATGTTTGTAAAATGAACAACAAACACAGCACAGCTTCCTAGGCTGAGGGACCACCCATTCACAGAAAAGACAGATAAGTTAACACTGTTCTAAAATGCTTTTTGTACAATTATGTATAGTAAGTTCAGAAATGAATAAGAGATTTCTATGATTGAAGAAACTGCCAAATTTTGAGCATGACACTATCTTCCAAATCAAAAGATCTTTTCTTAAGACAGCTTGCCTTTCATTATTGATGTACATAGCTCTGTTTATAATTAATACTTACTGAATAATAAAACCCAAATCAATAATGTTGAACATAATCATGGCTTTAAATATAAGTACATAGTTTTTATTTTGGTATTAGCTTTTAAAAAAGATTTACTGCATTTAAGGTGATCATAATAGCCAATATATATATTAAAGCTAGTTAGTAGTAGATAGATCAATTAGTCAACTAAGTTGTTAAAAGTTAACATATATTTGTGGTCTGGCAAAATAGCTAATGAATAGCTATAATATATCAGGCACTGAGCTAAGTGTGGTGTACAACAGGGGTTGGCAAACCTTACCTCTAAAGGGCCAAATAGTAAATATTTTAGTTTTTGTGGGCCACATGTGTTTCTGTCACATACTGTTCTTTGTTTTTTTTTTTCTTTTTTAACAACCCTTTAAAAATGTAAAATCCAGTCATAGCTCAAGTGCCTTACAAAAACAGGCTGAGGACCATATTTGGCCCACAGACTGTGGTTTGCCAACCCCTGATGTAAAATAAAAAAGTAATAGCAATTCAATCAATAAAAGGAAAGGGCCTGTTTTATACACATTGTAAGTAAATGAAGACGATCCAGAAAGATTAAATACAAAGAAATTTTCCCTGAATACAATTACAGATAGGGAAAAAATTGTGCTAGATATACAAATACCATAAGAAAAAGGGAATTAAAAATAAAATAAAATAATTTAATATTACATACTCTGGTGTGTATACTGGTAACCAGTAGACGAGTCTTCCACCTAATACAAGGGTCTCTGCCGCAAAATTTAACAGGTCAAAAAACATATCACTCAGATGGTAACTCAAGGAAACAGGCACATGGCTTTCTGGACTAGACAAAGAAATCAAAATTTCAAAATCAGTAAAAAACTGAAGATTGTTAAGTGAATTTAAGAAAGGACATGCTGCTTCTCCACATTTAACTTTTACTTACCATTTTTCTATTACCTTTGGTATTTCCTTCTGTGAACCTGTTCTTCTTGTAGATTCTCTAATACCATATGGGGCTAGACAGAAAACACAGGTAATACAGATAGTCAAAAGTCACCTAATCATCAGTGAGGGGCAGATGGACATCATGTGCCTTCAGATATGACAGCCTAAGGACAGAACATCATCTATGCAATGTTCCAGCTAAGGATGCATAACATGAGGATCATTCTATTTAAAACACTGGGAAGGCAGGCAGGTCAGTGTTCTTCAAAAATGTCAATGTCATAAAAGACAGAAGGGTTGTAAAAGTGTTACAAATTAAAAGAGCCCTAAAAGATGATTACTAAAGGCAATGACTCATACTAGACTGGATACTGTACTAGAGGGGAACAAATAAAGAGGGGCTATTACTGGGTCAACTGACAAAACTGGATGCCAGACTACATATTGAACTATTGTACTGATTTATCAAAACTGATTAACAGTACTTCAGTTATTTAAGAGACTATCCATATTCTTAGGAAACATACACTGAAGTATAGAGGTAAAGAGCCACAATGTACACAACTTACTCTAAATTGATTGCAAAACTAAATTACATATTTTATATATACATACAGAATCAGAGCAAATAAAGTAGATTGTTAGTAGAAGTTACCAAATTTTCATAAAGTATATTCATACTGCCATTGTAATGTCTTGATAATTTTTCTTTTGTTAGATCTGTAGCCATCTAAGCTATAAAAGAACTGAAGGGAGCTGAGATGAAAGGGTTGAGATACACTTGCCACTGTTTAAAGATTTCCTGCCAAATACTACTGAAAAGGCAGATCTACTCCTAGATAGGGTGCCTTAGAAGCCGAAGAACTCACAAGGAATGGAAAACAAGTTCTCATGCACATTCCTCAAGTTCAGCGGGTTCACAAGCCCAGTGGTTCATACAATCCCAAATTTCTTGTAACTCTAGAAAGGAGATGCCAGTGAAAACAAGCATTACAAAAACAAAAGCTTACACATGGAGAAATGTGTGACATCTAAGACTCTTTCTTTGAAATCTGATACCATACTGCAAATGACATTTCAGCTCCAGTTGGTATACTAATAACCAATTACAGTAAAAAAATAAAGCAAACATAAAAATGTATGCCTCAAGAAATAAGCTGAAGAGAAAAAGGGCTAACAATATATATATATTGTTTTATATATATATATAGTTGAAAAAAACAAAACAAACTCTTAGCTACTTAACTTGGTATCCTGCCCTATATTCATAATTTTTTTCCTTCTCACTATGTGAAGAGGTCGAGGTGGGGGAAATACTAGTACAGTTGGCATTTTTTGTGTGTTGATAAATTTAAATGTAAATGACTTCAGGAAACTAATCCTACTCCTACTTTTACATATAAATAACTTACGATCAGTGATTATTGCATCAAAATATGTGCCCTTCCTCCAGGAAGGTTTAGATGCATCTGAAACCAGGACATCAAGGTAATACTTCTCTAAACCATACTGACGAAGATTTGCCCTAATGTTTTCATCTGGTCCTCTCCATTTCTGGTTTTTCCTACTCGCCTTTCCTGAGGGAAAAGAAAAAGGAAGAAAGAAAATACTAAATCAAACAGAGCATTCTTATGTCTTGTTACTGAGCTAAAACTAATGTTTAACTCATTTACACCTACATTTACACAAATAAAACTTGCTTTCACTTAAAATCTTGATCTTCTTTATACAAATAAACTTGTTTTTATTTCAACTTGCTATAAAAATTATGACAAAAAAATATTTTAAACAGTAAAATGTACTGATGCCTAATCTTGTTCTGTCACCTTCTAAGCCTTAAAACATTCACTCAATACTTAACTGAGTTCAAAGCATATACAGAAGATAAAGAGTTAAACAGAAAACTGTTCCTTTTCCTCCAGCAGCAAACAGTCCTCTGTAGAAATAGTGATGAATCAGATGAAACAGAAATGAAGAGAGTTAACATGGGAAAATGTAGACCTGTAACTATGGAGAGGGGAGGCAAAATGGAGACATTACAGATGAAAAGTTACAGTGAAGGTTGAAGGAAGATAGTCAAAAGATCTAGTTTAGGAGATACAAGTGGTTGATGATACCATCAAGTAAGATGAGAGACCAGGAAGAAAACAAGCTTAGGAGAAAAATGAAATTTATTTTGAGAATATCAGTCTTGTTCGTGAAGTAACTACAGAACATTCAGAAAGAGATATTCAGTGAGGTGGATGCCAGAATTTATACACTCAGGGAGTATCAGTATATAAACTTAAGTTACATTTCTAAGAATGAATGACATTTTTCCTTAACCTACGTGACAGTTTCACAAATGTTCTATTTTTATATACTCTTGTGTATTATGATCTACTCACAACAAAAACAAAACTTAAAAATCAAAAGGAGAAGAATAATATGACTCTGACAACATGCAGTGATAGGAGGTGTCAAAGAGAGATGCCCAGAAAAAAGCAGCATGTAAACACAGGTCAAAGAAAATTGCAGGTCCTTACGGAGACTGAGGTGGAACAAAGAAATAAAAGTACCATCCATGAGACACTGTCTAAGAAAACAAGGAGGCTTTACAAAGGTCAACACTGACAAGGGCCATAGATCTATGGCCTTAATAAGAATTTTCAGTAGGTGTGGAAGCGAGAAAATAGCAGGAGGAAGAGAGTTTGGCAAAAGGAAGAGGAAAACAAAGTGGTAGCTAGAGGGCCCTATAAGATGGATAGAAAACGGTTTGTATTTTTAAAGTAGGAGAAACTTGAGAATATTTGAAAATACAGTAAGAGATTAGAAGCATGGGAAATGGAGGACACATCTACCAGCATTTGGATAAGCCCTGAGGAAATCCTACCTCAATCAGAATTCTACTCAATTCCTCTGGCAGGTTATAACATAACTTTCATAAACAAAAATACAAATAAATTAATATATGTCAATTTCCTTAAAGTAAACATACTGCTTCTACTAAAAGCAAGCAGCAATAATTCTTCCTTAGCACTTTGTCTACTCTAGCATACTGCAGACAAATACTATCTTTTTCTGGTTAGCCCACTGAGGTGAACCTCATAAAATGTAACTCAGTTTCCTATGATACATTTTACTAAATTTTTGTAGTCAAGGTAGGTCATCAAGTACAATATAGCAAATTGCATCAGCAAAAAGAAAATAAAGTATAATAAATTCTCACCTATAAGAAACTTACACTGTGTGAGAAAAAGGAAGAGTGCTTTAGGCACTGATTCGAGTTACAATAATGGGATACCAAGATAAATACAATGTCAATATCATCAATTAAACTTGGCATTTTTAATAGTAGTCTGCTTTAAGAAAATATTTTTTCAGTTTGATTCAATTCCATCTAACCTCACATTCTAAATTTTAAAATATTTTCCAAAATTGCCTCAAAAGCAAGCAGAAGCTTATCTCAAGTTACCCTCAGTCTAATGCAGAATCTTTAAAGTTATTGCCACCTTAACTGTTTCAAAGATGTTCTGGTTGGTTATGGAATTAAAAATGTATATGGCACTCAAGGACTAGAAATTAATCCAGTATACACTCAATGCATGATTATGAATAAAAGAATGTTGATATTCTTTAAATAGAAGTTGTATGTCTTATTAACATGGACATACTGATTACAAAAGGGCTAGTCCCTTTCTCTTCTTTCCCAGTCCTGAAGTTCAAAACCTTCAAGTTTGCCTCATGTTTTAAATATCTCTGTTATGAAAACCACAAACACCTCTGAGGGGAGGGCTTTTCTTCCTCATCTTAGTGTTCCCCTAGATCTCTGCACATATTGGATCACTTTGTAAAAAGCAGATACCCAATGAAGTTAATAGTTGTAAAAATAAGTAAAACTATATTACAACTCTGTATTTTAACATTAAAAATAGATGTTTAATGCCATATAAAAATATTCTATTATTTTAAAGGCACCTTTGATAAAAGATCTAAGACTGTAACACTCTCCAGAGCGTCTACTCACCCAAACCATGAACTGTGTTGTAGTCTATGTCTGTCCCATATACATACGCACCAAAATGAGCAGATGCTATCAGAAGGCCACCTGAAAAAATCACACAATTATGATCTGTAAATCAGAAAATCCCAGACTCTTATTTCTTCCCCTATTTAAACTGACCCAGATTCTTATAAACTAGTTGCAAGCAGGAGTGCCTGAGAACTAGACTGGTCCTGGCCATACTCAGCAGGCCTCAGAACTGAAAAATCAGCCCCCTAAGCTGTGCTCATCACATCACCCACAAAGCAGGGAATTAATGCATGCACTGGCATCATTACTTTAAACAGCACAACTTAGGGAAAATTATCTTTTTTGGTCAAAATAACATATATTTAGAGATGATCATCTTATTTTGAGAGGTCTATACAAAGCATCCTCCTCCTTCCTTAGAAATAAACATATACAAAGAACCAGCAATAAATCCTGCAAATAGGCTCAATTCCCATTGAAGTCACAGAGTTTCAAAGAACTAAAGGGGACATAAATAACATGTAAGATATTAATCCTTACAAAAATGAAAATATTAGGACAAGAAATAATTACTCCTGTAACTAGTGAGGAAATTATCTCATTTTAAACTGTAAATATGGATTTCTGAATAACTATTATCAAACCTACACAAAAATAATCAATACAATGTTTACCCAGTGCTGTGATCAAAGTAAGAACAAATTCCCAATACAGTTTGACTGAAATAAGTAAGTAATCTGTTAGGTGTGACCAGTTCATATATGAAGAAAAATGTTAATAAAAGATTTAAAAATTAATGAAATCCTTTAACAGAAAAGGTAATAATATCTTTTAACTGCTTAAGGAAAAAAATTCAGAAAATTAAATATTTTAAAAATTGCAGTTTTCACTTAACTTCACTTTTTTTAGTCATCCAAATTAAAATACTCTTACTGCTTGGGCAAGTCCTAATAGCTATACTGTAGAAAGACTTGTCAAACTGAAATAAGTACATTATTTGACTATGCAAAGACTCAGACAAGGGAAAATAACTCTGGCTCTTTTTCTTATATCCTTTTAAAATGTAATCTCTAAAATTAAGATGGGTAGTACCTCCAGAGGGCCAAGATCTTTATATAAATTAAAGGTGTTCCTTCCATAGCCATTTAAAACAGTCTAGTAACATGTACTTAAAAAAACACTTTGCTCATGAAAAATAATGTAACTGACTACTTCCCAGTGGATCCAAGAAGAAGAGAAATGGAGGACTAAAAGTAGAGCAGAAACCAAAACCTAGGTTCCCTCACACTAACCACAAAAGACATTTATTTGTGTGAGACGTAGGACCTCATAATTATTACTGTATAAATGGAACAGTCCATTTTTAGGAAAGGTACCATATATGATCACTTGGACTACTCAAAATCATGTCACCCAAATTATGAGGAATTACTACAATTCTGCCAATTAAAGCAGATACTCACCTAGAAGAACTAGTTGTCAAGGGGAACAGAAAAGCTTTCCTGGGCTTCCTTAAACAGAACCTTATCCGTTTGGTTAAACTGAGTTTTGAGAAGACCCAGTTTAGAATACACTGCTGAAAGGAGATGAACAATCTGTTAGACTGCATCTGTTAGTTAACTTGGTGCCCTAAGCTTTTCAAGTTTTAAATAAAATCAGCATAAATTAGTGTCTCTGAACTGGTCAATGAGTAATAACTGTTAATCATCTAGTTGTTTTTTCATTAAATGGAGGCATTATTTGTATTTAGTTATACCTCAGTTGGAGTTTTCCTGGAAGCTTTTGGGTAGAAGAAGGGGGTGATAAAAAAGGAGGGGTGAAGTGTTGAGGGAGCAGGTAATTATGACTCACCAAATTTCTTATTACACTATCAAGTGTGAAAATACCACAAACTCAGTGTTTTAATTTCTCATTAAATAGTAACCACTTTAAGGTTTGGGTGATATAGGCAAAAGGGCATAATATGTGGAATTTACTTATGATATGGAAACTAATTTATGATTTTCATCTCTAGAGATTTAAGTAGAGAGCTTTATGAAAGTGTAAAAAGAAGAGACTGGGCTTTTGTTTTGCTGAAAGAAAAGGAGAAAAGGGGAAAAATGGAGATACTATTATATCTATTTTATTCCTTTTAAAAAGGAATTCAAATAAATTAATTTAGGAACCTAAGCAAAAAGATATTGCTAGAAAATAGAAAATTTACTAGACAAACTATGAAATTCAGGAAAAGCGGACAACAAAGAGTTGTGGATAAATGTGAAGCACAGACTCACACAGACCTACAAGGATCAACTGTCTCGAGACCTCCTAACTTTCTTTTCATCGTCTGAAGTCTCCAGGACACTTTCCCAACACCTGGCTTCTAGATCTATCATTTTGTAATGATAAAATTTCAAAAGGAGCTATGTTCCTTTCCTTATACCTGTGGTTCATCTGAAGGTAGAAGAGGCCAAGGAGTATACAATAGCTTCCTGAGTGTATTCTCATTTACTAACAGAACTGACTCAAAGAAGGGAAGGGGAGAAAGAAACAAAGCTCTATCTACAGAGCTATATCATAAAATCATATCACAACTACCTACAGCTACTGGCAAACACGTGTACCAATTATTTTCACTATAAACAAAGAATTAGAAGTTTACAATTTTAACCCTCAATTTCCTTGAATGCTGCCATAACTTGCCTACAATTGTAAATTATGAATATCTTGGAAATTAGCCAAAGAAGGGAGCAGAAAAAGAATCCATGGCCAAATTGTTCATCATCACCATTTCAATATGCTATATCTAACATCTTTCACCAAAAATACCATTTAAGTTCTTAGCAAAAGAATAATTAAAAAATGATAACAATTACAGTTTACTGAATGTCTACCATGTGCCATACAACTTCCTAAGAATTTCATATGCATATATAACTTCACTTAATCCTCACAATATATTATTACCATTTTACAAAAGATGGAGCTGAGGCCTAAACTAGTTAAGAATCTTGCCCAAAGTGACAAATTAAGTGATAGAGTAAGAATTTAAAACTCATTCTATTTGTTCTTGTCCCTCTACCATACTACCTCCTCCTCTGGGGTCAGCCCTAATGAATCAAATATACATTTAGCTTACCAATTAGATAAACAAAAGTAAAACTTGTTATTAAACAAATTAAGTAAGGAAAGCTACACATCCAGTTAATAAAAGCTGTATACCATTCACAAGTCTTGTATCAGCACAGAAAGGCCTGTGTCATTATAGGTATTCATTATATTCATGCTGATCGTTCCTTTAGCCACACTCTTATTGGAACTGTACCTATTGAGAGATGACCCAAAGATATGCATGTTCTCCCTCAGGAAACCAGATATACACGATTTAAGAAAAAAAAAAAGAACTTATTAAAACAAGAGCCAACATATTTGCTAAAATGGAAAGGAAAGTATGTTTCTACTCATAATGTCATTCTAGATAACAGTAACAGACTTTCCAAAACAAAAAGGAAAGGTATTTAGGTAGAGAAAGATACCTCTCCTTTAAGTTTCCCAGAAGCTTTCTACTCTATTACCCTGAGAAAAATCACAGGTCATGAGTAATCAGGGGTTAAAACATTTGGGAATGTAATTCGATTTTGCACCTATAAACTAGAAAAGAGACTGGATACCCTTGATTTTAAAAAAGAAAAATACTAAAAAAGGGAAGAGAAAAAAATGTTGTCATATACTTTGTGAAAAACTATGGCCATGGAAGAGGACACAAGGCTACTTATTTCTCCAATCCTTTAGAAGGTACTACCCATCAATGAGACAAAAAGGCCCAAGAAAGAAGACAAATTATACTTAAGAACTGTGTCTATTCACCATTACTAGCTACTATAAATTTCAAAAGAAAAGCACTAAAAACTGGCTGAAGTACTAAAAATGTGCTTAAACTATAACAAATTATAAATTTTAGCCACATCTGTGCAAAGACTCTCCTCTTTGCAATATTCCATCAATTGTACTATATAAAGTCAAATGACCAAAATATGCTGTCTGCTCTAAGAAGATGCCCTACAGCTAATTAGGGGCAGATCTTCCTATGCTTGCCACACTGATAGTAGTCAATATCTTGACTGCTGTGGTAATCAGCATTTCATAATACACCCACCCTCATATATCAAGGAGAGAAATTTTACCTATATGAGCAATTCTTATTTTTAAATTTATGGTTTGATTTAATGCACATGAGCATATTAAACATTACATACATGTACGTATCTTAAAGAATTCTCAATTCACAAAAAAACTTTCTAAATCCCAAGAAGAAGATGAAGGATTAATGAAGTGTTTAGCATATGAAAAAAGATAAATTAAATTCATTCCTCACAGCACACACACACAGGGGGAAAAAACCTCCAAATGGACTAAAGATCTAAATGGAAAAAAATTAAAGCTACAAAAGTACTAGAAGAAGACATCTGAATTCTTCTAAAACTTGTATATTGGGAAAGTTTTTGCATGGTAAAAGACAAACTGCATGCAATTTGAAAGATAAATGGCATACTGGGAGAAAATATTATTCATACACACACACACACACACACACACACACACATTTAAAAAAATAAATGGGAAAGGAGGGGGTGCTAATACCCCTAACAAAGTATTTTAGAAATAAAATGGGGATCAAAAACTCAATAGAAAAAACAGGAGAAATACATGAAAAATAACTCAAAAAAATGTTATAAAAATGATTCTTAAAATACAGTAAGTTATTAAACTTCACTCACAATAAGAGAAATACAAATTCACACTACATTGAGATAACATTTTCACACAGTGGGTTGGCAAAATTCCAAAAATTTCACAATATACTCTGCTGGTGAGGCTGTGGGGACTATCATAAATTACTGGCAAGAATGCAAAATGGTATAATGGAGAGGAATTTGGCAACACTTAACAAAACTTCATATGCATACGCTCTTCAACCTAGCAATCAACCCTACTTCTAGGAATTTACCTTAGAGCTAAACATCATGAAAGTATATGTGCACAAGATTATTCACTGTAAACATCATTCGTAACTGCAAAATACTGGAAAGTCCAAG